CACGCTCGGTGAAATAAGTGAGATACAAGAGGCCACCGGTTGGCCCGTTTCCTTTACAGGACGGGTTTAGGATACTGGAGGCAAATCCATAGAGAGAGAAAGCAGATGAAGAGTTGTTAGGGGTGTGGCGCGCGGGGACGCACCAGGGCTCCTAGGTAGCATTTAGTCCAATGAAAATAGAGTCCACTAAATGTCAGAGCTACCACACCTAGCACTCAGTACCACCCGTAAATGAGAGAGTCGCTTGACTAGTGGGTCACTTTAAAGGGCGGGAGACCATCATAACTTTCATGAGCGTGGAACTCACTGCTCACAGGCTGGATGTGTCCCTGCCGGGACACGGAAAGGATCTGGGCTTAGACCGCGGTGATGGTTGCACGGTGCCGTCAGGTGCCATCGCACCGGTTCTGATGCATAGTGACCCCGGGCGCAGAAGACAGAGCCACTGTCCGGTCCAGCGCCATCCTCACAATTGTTCCTGTGCCAGCGCCCACTGTGGCACCACTGTGCCAATCCATCCTGCGGAGGCCTTCCTTTTCCTTTGTGTTTGCCGCCCCTCCACTTTACCGAGCACCAAGTCCTGCTCCAGCGGCTGGTCCCTTCTGACAACACGTCCAACCTATGTAAGGCAAAGGGGACAGCCTAATACAGTACCTACTAAAAGCCACGGAATCGGACAGTTTAGAATGATGCCTTGATGTTGGCTGAGTTCTGTCTCTGTTTAAAAGGGAAAAAAGTAAGAAAGGAAACTCCACGGCCAGACCTGGAAGGCTCTTGAATGATGGGCTCGAGAGCCCAGATTTTCTTTCGTGGGTTGCCAGGAGCCACCGAAAGTGGGTAAGGAAGATCATGCCATGATAAGGTCTTCTTCAGAAAGGCCCATGGCGACAGTGGGTGCGGTGAGAACGGCGAAGAGCGAGCAGTTGCGGGAGCAAAAGAGGAGACTCGGCAGGCTGCAGGGAAAGGATGGCGTGTTTGCCGAGCGTCTCCAGTGTCACTGCATCTCCCCGACTCTTCACGGACCTATGGGGATCCTAGAGGATCCTAGAGGAGGAAGCCGAGGCCAGAAGGGTCAAGCAGCTTGCCCAAAGCTCTGGTGACGTAGTCTGTGCTTTGAAGCCGCTGGCGCCTCCCTGGGGAGGAAAAGACTTGGCCGTCTGCTCACATACACATCACATCTTCGGAAGCTCTATGGGGCTACTCTGTCCTGTAGGGTCACGAGGAATCAGATTCAACTTGATAACGATGTGTTTTCAGGCCGCATAACTGTCATGTCGGAGCTCTCGAGTGAACCAGCAGAGCCCTCAGACCCACTTCCTTTGGCTTCTCCGTTGATTCGGGTGACCACGGGGGCACAGATGTGCTGGAGCGGGGGCTGAGGAGGGCGAGAGCAGTTCTCCCACTAGTCTGCATTGCTCAGGCCTGATACACTTGTCAACGATGAATGCAGTGAGACCTCCCATCTGGGAGGCTCCGTTCTGTGCCTGAAGGTGACTTTTAGCCTCAACACCTAAGAGTTTGGGTTACCTAATGCCTTTGAGCAAACCTCCCTTTCTTGTCTATCAAACAGTAATAATTCTGAGGTTAACCAAATGAAGTCAACAATAGCCATCTTGCACAATTGGTTCTGGAAGGATCAAATACTACAGCCTCACATGCTCAATGGGAAGGTGTGGGAGCAAAGCTTGCCCCCGAGGGTCCCTAGTCACTCAGTGTTCAACAGGCTCCTATGTCTGGAGAGCTCTTCTCCCCTTTTCTCCTCCTCCTCTTTCTAGTTTTTCCCATCTTCTCCTTTTTCTATATTATATTTCCCTGCTCCTCCTTTCCACCCCTGCCCCCAAGAAAATTGGAATCGTGGGCTTTTTAAAAGCTCTCAGCAATCTCAACTCTGCCCTGCATGGCTTTCTTTGCTCCCCCGACCTCCCTGCCCTTCCCGAGCTCCTCTCTGCCGCCTGTCTCCTCCTATGTGTTCATCATGCGGACAGGAGCAGAGAGCATCTGAGTCCTGAGTTCTACTCCCAGGTCTCCTTCCTGCTGATAATCTGACTGGATTCATAGCCCCAGTCTCCTCATTTGCTTAATGCTAATATTAAACATCATAGCAACAATAGCAACTCAGGGTTGTTGCTTAAGGGTTGCATCAGTTAAAGCACTGACTTATCTGGCGTCTGGAACATCAGAGGCAAAGGAGCCCTGGTGGCATAGTGGTTAAGCATCCCGATACCAATGGAAAAGCTGATAGTGTGAACCTACGTACTCAGACACCTTTGCTGGGTGACCTGGTTCTGCAAAGATTATAGTCAAGGAAACCCTATGGAGTAGCCCTATTCTGTCACATACGGGGTGACCATGTGTCAGAATCAACTTGACAGCAACCAATGACATCAGCAGAACCCTGGATGGTGTAAATGGTTGACGCTTGGCTACTGTGGCAGTGAGATTTTGTGTCAACTTGAACATGTGTAAAAGTATAGGGGTGGAATCCATCCTGTCAATCAGGTCACAGCCTGATGCTGCCTTCCTTGGGGCGTGGCCTTCTTACAAGACCTTCTGCCACTTTGCCTTCCTGCTGGCTGCCACTGGCCTGTCTCCTGACCCTGAGAGCTTTCAGCACCCTGCCATGGTTCCACGATGCGTGGAGCCCCATGACTCTGAGCCCTACGGCCTGTGATCTTCCTGTATCCGCTTCACCTGTCTGCATTAGCAGCCTGCAACCATATGGGTCAGATGAGGGCCCCGCTTGCATCAGACTTATGGACGTGATTTGGACTAGGCTGAGATGCCTTCTTGATATTAGATGATTTCTTATTATAACGTTTTTCTTAGACATACATGAGTGTCACTAGATTTGTTTCTCTGGACAACCCAGCCTAACATAGCTACTAACCAAACAGTTGGGGGTTCAAATCCTCGCAGCAGTACCTTGGGAGAAAAGACGTGGTCATCTACTTCCAGAAGGTCATCCCCAAACTCCTAAAACCAAACTCACTGCTATTGATTCATAGAACCCCAGAGGACAGGGTAGAACTGTCCCTGTGGGGTTTTGAGACTGTAACTCTTTATGGGAGTGGAAAGCCTCATCTTTCTCCCACAGAGTGACTGGTGGGTTTGAAATGCTAACCTTGCGGTTAGCAGCCCAACCTATAATCCATGATGTCACCAGGGCTCCAAAGGGTCCCAGCCCTTGAACATCCTCCAGAGTGTACTTCTATTCCAAAACACATGAGGTCGCCATCAGTTGAAGTTGACTGCAGGGCAACTGGCTTGGCTTTAAATTTATTTTTATTTTATAACATCACTGTTATTAGGGCATTAAGAAATAGAGTGTGACAAACGTGTTAATCACCATTTAGAAGAAGTTGGTTTCATTCCTCAAGTATCTAGTATTTTAAGGACATAATTGGAAGAACTCTTTTAAGTGACAATATTCTTTTCCCCAAATCATTTGAGAAACATCTTCTAACTGGGGTGCTGTTTCAAAGAAATGACCTCCAGTATCATTAACACGTGGGAACGGGGGTCTAGAGGACTTGGGGTCAGTGGATACTGAGGGGATTTCCCATGGGGCCCCGCCCCCAGCTGAGTCACCCAAACTGCCTCTGTCTAACCTGCTACACTCTCCGAGCTGCAGAACCCCTCTCTGTTCTGAAGATCAAGGAGTGGAAAGTTCTCCACCAGCCCTGAGACTTCAAGGTTTGTCTACTAGGGCAGAGCCAGGGGTGGCAGGGTGGAGGGCAGGGCGGTGGGGTGGCACAGGAAGGACCCACAGTGGGGGAAAGATAGAACTTTACTTTCCCCTTGCTACAAGTCTAGACTTTTCCTCCTTCTAATTTAGAGTAACAGCCTGGTCAATGAAGATCAAGAAGTTGAACCTGAAGTAGGTATTTTTTTGAATCCTCCGTTGTGTTAGCCTCGGAGCTTCAGATTTCAAAGTGAGCGAATGCATGTCTGTGTTTAAGAAAGGAGGATCCTGAATTGGGCGGAAGAGTGTTTCAGCGTTGAGGCAACCAGGTGTTGGAACATCCAACGTACGGTTCAGGTTAAGAAGGAGCAGTCATAATGATCAGTGTCTTCATGGAGCTGAGCTGAGAGATACCACTGAGATTCTCTCCCTGGGACTGTCTTTCAGGGGCAGCAAGCAACTGGTGCTGTGGGGATGCTCAGGATCCATGAAAGTCCCCAAAGTTCTGGGCAAAATGGGCTGGGCAGTGTGCTGGTGATCTAGTGCTCCCCCTGATAGCAATACCAGAAAGTGGGGAGGGGGGGCTTGAAGAAACAGAGATTCTCTCACAATTTAGGAGGCTCCCCAAACCCAAGTCTATTCTGACAAATAGCCAATCCTTTCAGACAGCGTGGAACTGCTCCAACGGGCTAGAATCTGGATACAGTCCCCAAGGCTAGAGGAGGTCCCTCTCTTTCTGCTAGCTCGGGAGGAGGTCCGCATCTCTTCATTGTTGGTTCATTTTCTCCTCAGTGATTCTCATGTGTCAGAGCGTCTGTTTTCGCCCATCTCTCTTTCTTTAATCTGTTTCTTTTATATCTCAAAGAGATGGACTCAAACCACAGCCTCCACTAGCTACCTCATTATTATAAAAAAGAGAACCAATTTCCTAATGGGATTGTGACCACCGATACAGAGGGTTAGGATTTACAACTCATATATATATATATATATTTTTTGGGGGGGGGCATAATTCACAACAGTAAATGTGCTTTGTAATGCTGACAAACCAATGTACTTAGTCATGCTTGTTTTTTCATAGAAGTCTGGTGTCTCCCAAAAGCAAAATCCTTTCCCAGTATATCCCCTTATTAATTGGTCTGGAAAGAACCTTGGTTCTGGTCAGGTGGAATCATCCCTCGTGTCATCATGTGGGTACTTTCAGAGGAAGACACCAGCTCTTTATTTGAAAGGCTGACTTTTGTAGAGTGACATTTGTGACATCAGTTAATTTGATGATTCAAATTTGCTCAGATTCTGCTTTGCCAGTGTCGCGCCCATGTGAGATCTCATCATGAGGAACAGCTGTTACAACATGGTGGCAACAGTGCTCTTGGTCCTGAACTTGGAGAGGACAGGAGCAGCGCAGGATCCCTGTGGGGATTGCCCAGCTGGTAAGAACCAATTCATGTGCATTTCATCTGTCCTGCTAAAAATATGCCTCAATTAGTCCAGTGGTCAGAGCGAATGAGCTTCCTTTCAATGACCTTTTATTCGCTCATTTACAAATATTTATTGGGTGGCACAGAGCTGCTCAGACCCATTGGCTACTCTGCAGAAGAAATATGAAGCTGCATGCTGCCATAAAGATTTATTTATAGCCTAAGAAACGCTAGATGGGTCTCTGTGAACCGGAATCAGCTCGGTGTGATCATAATCATACAAGTGTGAACAGAGCCAAACCACTTGACCCCACTGGGGCTAATAAAGGACCTATCTCAAAAGGTTGCTGGAGGGATTCTAGGAAGGCTTTAGGATCAATGTGTGGCCCATGGCAAACCCCCAATACACCTTAATATTACCTGCAGGCCTTGTGCTCAAACTGGGGGTAGAGCAGGAAATAAGTAGGGGCCAGAGGGCTTAATAGAGTATAGAGAACTGGGCACATTGAATGCTTAGTGAATCCATGAGGCCCTTCTCTTCCCGGTTCCAACTGGCAGCTCTCATCGTTTGTCCTGTTCCCTCTGAGAGATAAGGGGACATGTTCTTCTCTCCATTAATTTGTTTGTTGCAGCGTCTGGACTTTGCTCTTAGTAGTTCTGTGACTACTCAGCAGATAATCTTGTAAATGTACAATTTCAAAAAGTCAACCGACCAAACAATGTCTATCACTGCAGTGGCATCCGGAACGCTAGTAATTCTTTTATATTTGTTGTCTTGTTTTCAATAAATGTTCATAGGGCTTTGGGTGGCCCCTACGTACTAGCAAACATGCCCAGCCAACATCTACCTTTCGTAGGTACTCTCTGTGAGAACACCAGGCAGCCGGCTTGCATTCCTTGTCCTGTAAACAGCTTCTCCAGCACAGGGGGACAGACGAGCTGCGACACGTGCAAGCGGTGCGAAGGTAGGACTTACCACATGTGTTCGGCCTGGTCTTGGTCTCTGGAGTCCCCAGAGTTAACACAGGCTGGAGATTTGAGTCTAGTCTAGATTAGAGGAAAAGGCCCGGTGATCTGTGGGCAGTGCCAGCGGAGTGTTGTCGGTTCGTTCTTACCGAGTGGGCCATCGGATGCACAACAGGATGAACTGTTGCCCAGCCCCGTGTCCGCTTGAGCCGTATATTCGATGTTGTTAGTGGCTGTCAAGTGCTGCCGGTTTTTGTTGGTGTCACGAGAACTCATTCACATTCTGCAAACTCAGCTGTTGAGAACTCTCGGGAGGGCGCACAGCCCGACTCTGATCCACACCAGGCTCCCATGGTTGGAACCGACTCAACAGCAGCCGGCAGGTGACCCTGCCCCCTGTGGCTGGTTCCTCTGCCAACAGGCAGGGCCGCTCAAATAATGGACTACAATGGCAGGCATCTGGGTGTGTTAGGCTGGGTAGACTGGAGACACAAATCCATGGACACGCATATGTGTATAAGAAAGAGATTTATATACAAGAAGAATTGAATATTGAGAAAACATCCCAACCCAGTCCAGTCCAAGGCCATAAGTCTGATATTAGCCCATGTGTCCCATACCAATCTATAAAGGCCTCTTCAGACTTACGAAACATATGCAATGAAGCCAAATGCAGGACGATTCACCAGCCAGTGGGTAGAAAGTCTTTGGTCCAGTGGCGTTGGAAGCATCTCAGTGCTGGCAGCAGTCTCTCTGTGGCTTCTCTGGCCTCTGAGATCTGGTTGTGTCCATGTGGCTTGTCTTCTGCAATGCCTCCCAGGGAGTAGCAGAGAGAAAAGTGTCTCCTGCCTCCAAGGAGGATGAACCAGATTTCCCAGAATTCTCAGGAGAAGGCCGTGCCCACACAGGAGTCTCATTGGCTATCTCCAGATTGACAGCCTAGACTCCACCCCTACACTCTTAATCCTTAAATTGACACCAGAGTAGGGGAGGACCACACTGGGAATGGAGCTTTTTAAATATTAGAAGAAACATCCATTTAACAAGAGATGAGTTTTGAGTCGGCAAAATATTAAAATACCTTTTACAGAGATTGAAAAGTAAGCATTATACTCCAAGGCCATTAGTAACATCGTAGGATAAGCATGGATTTTATCATAGAATTTTTCACCAAACAATTGCTGCTTGACTTTGGAGACAAAGTGTAATGTAACTGTGGGGGGATTTGGAGGCGTTTTCAGGACCAAGAGGGCATGCTCCCCGACCAGCGATGCCGAGTGTGAATGTGTCTCCGGGTTTCACTGCCTGGGCGCGGAATGCACCAAGTGTCAACGGGACTGCAACCCAGGGCAAGGATTAACCAAAAAGGGTAGGTCTGCTGTTCTGTTCTATTCCAAGCCTATTATCTCAGCCTAACTCATGAGCTTCCGTCCTGAGTTTTTCATGGTAAGGTTAAAATAAAAATGGTTGACCCTTAAAGCGATGAACCGCCGTGCCTAGTGTGTGACATTTACAAAATCATTTTTTCAATCAATGCAAATAGTTGAAAAACCTCCATCATTTACCAGGACCATGCATTTCTCTACCGTTTATAGAGGTCTAATACCCTGATGTACAGTTGTACAAACTTTACTACTGTATGCCCGTCACTGGAAAAGTTATGAATCAGTGATAACACTTCTCTTGGAATGATGGATTCAATTTCTATGCAAGGTTGTGAAGACTGCTGCTTTGGGACATACAACGATCGGACAGAAGGCAGCTGTCGGCCCTGGACAAAGTATGTATGACATGTGTTCCCTTTGGCGTAGGGAATAGTCTGGGATCAGCTTTTTGAAGCACAAAGAGTTCTACCTTTGGACTTATTGTATGCCTATCAAGTGTGAAGGTCGTGCTATCAGTTAGTTCTCGTGCTGGATTCGAGTCGTGCCGATCTTATGCACAACGGGATGAACCACTGCTCAGAACTGTGCCGTCTTCAGCACCCACTATTCTGGGGGTTCTCAGCTTTATCATTCGAGTCGCTAGGACTCACCCATACATTCTTCATGACTTTCTAGGGCTAGTCCTCCTACAGTCCTTATTTTACAGTCAAACAAAGAGATCAGTGAAATATCCTAACGGATTCAAAGCGATTGTTTTCTTTTGTGTATAGCTGTGACCCTTCCAGAACTTAAAAAAAAAAAAAGTTGTTGTGATCATTATGGGTCTTCCCACAAGTTAGCATGCTTCAAGGTCATTGTGGAAAGAGGTTAGCTGAGAGCGCCACCCTGATCTGTCTGACTCTCTGCAGCCCCTCGGCCTACGCTGTATTGTTTGTCTTTTCTATGTGGATGTCTATCTATGGGGATGTCTAACTATGATAAGAAGTTGGGGGTTAGGGGTGGGGGTGGCAAGAGACAAACCAGGCAGAAAAGCCCGTTTTCAGCTCTCATAGGACAAGAAGGGGTCTGCATGGCGCCCCAACCTGGGCAGGCAGGGGAATCCAGCCGTGTGTAGAGTCGGGAGGGCTACGGTCAGCCTAAACATCTGTATGAAAGCTGGAGGGAGCCAGATGATCCAATGGGAATTGATCAAGGTGTGTTCAGGTCTCCTGTAGGCCCAGATGTCTATCACCATTTATCTTTATCAGGGTTCAGCCACACTGGGTGGGACATGTCAATGAGTTTGAAGCAGGGTGGTCTATACCTGAATGGATTATTTGAACTCTATTCATTGAACTCTCCCAGTTGCTCCTTGCACGGAAAATCTGTGCTCGTGAATGGGACGAAGGAAAAGGATGTGGTGTGTGGACCACGTTCAGTTGACTTCTCTCCAACGACATCTTCAGTCACTGTTCCTGCTCCGGAGAGAAAGGCAGGTAGGTGGTTCGCTGCTGGTACCTCCAAGGGGATAGGTGATGGCGAGCCCAGTTGGGGTCTACACCTCCTGGCTCTCTTGATACCTCATCTCTCCGTCTACAGAGGCACCGCCAGGGCCTCTTCCTTTTTCCACCGGGGCTTCCTGGAGGCCATCCATTTTTTTAATCAGATGTTTGGCATTCTCTCTGTCAGAAGTACACCTTAGAAAACAGGATAAGGTGAGACTTGATCCAAACAGGTACTACACCTGTTTGGGTACTACACCAAAGGGGACAAAAGGATTGTCCCCAACCTCCAGCAGAGTGGCCCCTAGGGCCTTCGTTCCTGTGGGCAAACCTTCTTCATCTCCTGTGACGATATTTTTGATGTTAGCCCAGATGAGTTGCCATTGAGAGGACTCCGACTCCGGTGACCCCACGTGGGTCAGAGTCAAACTGTTCCCGATGGTTTTCAGTGGCTGGTGTGTCAGAAGCAGACCCCCCCCCCCAAGCCTTTTCTTCTGAGGCATCTCTGGGTGCATATTCGAACCACCAGCCTTTAGTTAGCAACCAAATGCAAGAATGATGTGGATTCACCAAGGCCTACAACTTCTAGACTCCAGTCTGGCTAGAATCAGCTCGCGGGGAACTGGTTCCCTGGGTTGGAAAGCCTAAACCACTCAGGGAAGTATTCTTAACACACAGGCAAGTGAGCTAGGTGGGCTGGGTGGAGTTGCCTAGGGGTCACTTTCCCAAGTGCTCAGGGGCTTATGCTAGTTTGAGGACCTTCCAGAGGTTGAAGGGACCATGGAATGACACAAGAACGGGTAGCCTGCATTTGTCCTGCCTCTCTTGTCTTCAAGATGGCCAGCCGCCGGTCACGCCCGTCTTCCTGGCACTGATGTTGGCCGCGGCCCTGTCGCTGATGTTCGTCTTCCTGCTCCATTTCGCCCGCGCCAACTGGGGCCGAAAGAAACTGCTGTATATATTCAAACAACGTAAGACCAATACCCAAGTATCCAATATGAGCTCTTGGGACGCCGGGCTGTTTATGGCAGAAAGGAAAAGGGGCTCTTCGTTGCTGAAACGGGGTTGGTGCGGAACAGTGGGTATCCAGCAGGTGTGACCTGGCAAAGTCTGGAGCCCTGTTGGGGCTCCCGAGTGGGTGGGTGCTGCTGATGTCTGGTGAGTGGAGGCCAGGTATGCACCAAACACGCTGTAACTCACTCACAGGGCAAGCCAACACAACGAATAGTTCTTCATCCCCCAAAGATGTCAGGGGCGGGGAACCCGGCTATCGCAGGAGCATCCATCTAAGGATTCTAGAAGAGGGATCCATTTCATACACGGGCCCATTGGGCTCATGCATGTGCGTGTGTGTGTGTGTGTGTGTGTGTGTATTTAAGCTAGTTGGCTGTACCCACAGGACACTGGCAAAGAGGCGCATCAAATCGTCAGAATCTTTTGGCCATCTAGCTCACCTCCTCTGCCTGAAATAGCTTTTAATCTGAGCCGAGACCCACAACTTGAGGCAGGCATAGACCTAGGAGGAAACTGGCGGTATATTTAATAAACTGGATTATTTTAACCTAAAACAACAACCAAACCAACTCAAGGTCAGTGCTGACTCACAGTGACCCGACAAGACAAGGCAGAACTGCCCCACGGGGTTCTGAGACTGTAACTGTTTACTGGAATAGAAAGTCTGGGCTTTCTCTGGCAGAGCGGCTGGTGGCTTTGAACCGCTGACCTTTGGGGTTGCAGCCGAGTGCATCACCACGATACCACCAGGTCTTGGTTAGGGGTCACACGAGGAGAACCTGGTGGTATAGTGGGTGAGGCTCTGGGCTGCCAACCACAAGGTTGGCAGTTAGAAACCACCGGCTACTCCACGGGAGAAAAATGAAATTTCCGACTCCCTGAAAGAGCGACAGACTCAGAAACCCACAAGGACAAGTTTACCCCGCCCTAGGGGGTCGTCAAGAGTCAGAATCAATTCGAGGGCCTTGAATCCGGCTTGGTTTGGGAGTATAGGTTAATTGAATCATTTTAATAATGGAATTCCTTCATGACTGTACTACAAGACACTATTTCTGTAAGAAGCCCAGCAAATCAGTGCCTGGCAGGAATCAGCACTCATGAAACAAAAGCTTATAGTGATGCACGCAACTTGTTCTTTGTCTTTGTGGAGGACAGATGACAGGCTTGTCTGGACAGGTGGACTTTGGACATTGAAAGAGCGATCCAAGGGCAAAATTGTAACTGGAAACACCAGAAAAGGCTGATGAGTGTCGGAGTGGAGGTGTTAAAAGTACCTGCAGGGCAGCACCAGCCAAGTCTGATCTGAGGCTCTTTCAGGTCCTTAAAGAGCCGCCCTAACCCAGCAGGGCTCCGCTAGGGCCGCTTTGTGTTGACATCAACTAGACAGGGTGTTGTTGTTTTTCAACAATATAAACCATTTTACATGGTGCGTGTGTATAAAAGTGCGTTACATCATGAACACCCCCCAGGCCCTACCTTCTCGGGTTGCTAGCTGTGATGGGGTCAATAGCACTCTGCTTCCCGTTCCCAAGACAACCCCTCCCTCCCACGAGGATGGATCACAGCCAGAGCGGTGTGGTTTTCCCTGCTCGCTCTGCTTCACAGGCCTGCTAGCTCACACCAGTTTACCAGCGGCGATTCTCCTGAATCGCGCTTCTCAGGCCCAACATTGCATCTCTAGGACTCATCATGCACTGCCCAATGAGTAGGTTCTCATGGCTGTTGCCCATCGCAGGTTATCCATTCCAAGACAGGTGGACGTTCCCATGTGGATGAACGTGCAGTTGTTTCCTGCCTGACACCATCACAGACACGTGCATGGGTGTTGGCGTCCATGTGTCTCAGCATGGGCAAGCGCACACTTGTGGCGTTGGCTCTTCTCCGGAGTGAAAGTGTTGCCACATGAGGCACGTGTAGCTTGGTCCTTGGTACACAAACCAAACAGTTGTCCCCAACGAGCTAGGCCTCTGTCCACTTTCCTCACAGTTCTTTGTGCTCCCCATTCCTGTACTATGTGATGCTTTCAGACTTTGAATGGTTGATCTCTCTGGTGGGTGGAGAGTGGTGTCTCCTTGTGGTTTTAATTTGCATTTCTCTGACTCGCTAGCTGGGTTCGACACTTTTTAATTATTTTATCTTAGCCAGCGGATTTCCTCTTCTGCAAAGTATCTGATTAGTTCTTTCCAGCATTTTTCTACAGGGTTGTTGGCTCGTTCATATTAATTCATTTATATATTCATTCATATTAATTGATAGAAATCCTTTAGTCTCTTGTTCATGTGCTGCAAATATATGTTGTTTCCATTCTGTGGTTTACTCTCTTGTTTTCTTTTTGAGGCTAACCCTCTAACCTAATTTAAACTTCTAACTTCCTTATCTAACATCAACACCTCCTCCCTGACAGACCTATCCCATCCCTCCCCTAGCCGCTAACAAAGTTGTTTCTAAAATGCTTTTCAAAGGTCTTGGTGAGTAATTAGTGATTTGTCATGGAACTGTACCCATTTTTAAAAATAGAATTTTATTTCTTACCTTGATAGAATTACAGTTTCACAAAAAGGGGCCAAGGCAATACAGAGAACTTCCATGTGTCCTTCCTGGGGATCTAGCATACATCATTAGAGGACAAGATCAAAACCAGGAAATCAGCAATGGCACATTGTCACTGTGTGTGTGTGTGTGTGTGTCGTTCTGCGTCATTTTATCACACGTGGATTTGCGCAGCCGCCACCACAACCAAAACATAGTCCTGCGCCATCAGCGCAAAGACCTCCTCCCACTGCCAGCTCATAGCCACACCCACCTGGCTCCGCTTCCTCCCTGTTTTTCCATTTCTATCGGTTTGTCATTTTGAGACTGTTATATATAGACACACACACACACACACACACACACACACACACACACACACA